TTTCTCCTCTGATTCTTCTGGCCAATTAGATATCTCTTGACATAATTGTGACTCTTCTTGCATGAATAGCACACAAGTTGGTGTCTTCAAATAATCCAACAAGGTAAGCTTCAGCAGCTTCTTAAAGTGCCAAGACAGCTGAGCTTTAGAATCTGAGTTCCTTTTAGAATTCATGTGCAATTTCTCTGACTAATCTTTAGAATGGGAGTTTTCTGATTAACAATTCAGTTGACTTTTAGTATTTTCTGATTTCTCTAAGGGCGACAGTTCCTGGTCTGAATTTGTGGGGTTTCTTTAAACCTCCAGTAGCTCCAACAGCTGGTGCAGTCTTTCTTGCAGCCTTGGTAGCCAAATGTTTAGTTGGTTTTTTATTACCAGCAGTGCTCTTTCTTGCAGTTTACTTAGTTCTAGCCATTTTATTGATTATTTAATTTAATTTTTGAATTTACATTTAGGGGGTTTTAAGTTTATTAAAATAAGTAATTCTGTATTATGATTGGTTGATTAAGAATATTGGTTGAAAACAGTAAATTTTAATAAAACCAAAGAAATATCACCATAAAATACAAGTAATTAAATCATTCTAACATAGAATTAACCAATGAAAATTAAAGACAATGTAAACATATATCTTATATTATCAGAAACTATCAGTATAATATTAATTAATAGCTGTATTAATATAAAAAAATTAAATAGTAATCAAACATCAAAAGAAGATAAAAATAAAATATATAATATTAATTTACAAAGATCCTTGTAATGATTATAATATCTTTTAAAATCAAATATTATATATTATTAGTAATACAAATTGATTCATTTAATTGATGATCCACCTAAATCTAAATATATACTTAAATTATTTGTTAACAAATTAAGATCATATGATAATAATCTATATAAAAAACTTGAAAAAATATGAATAAATCAAATGACATTTCCTATCTATTTTGAAGGTAAAAAAAATAACCAATTCAGTTAAAATAAAATATATTAAGAATAAAATTTTATTATAAGTATGAGTTAAATAATATATATTCTAATGATTAATTCAAAAAAAATAATAATTATCAAGAAAACTTTTCTAAATTATTAAGGTCTGGATATTTGGATTTAAAAGTATTAATCAACTCTGTAATTTATTTTTAACATTCATTATATGTGTTAAAGTCTATTTTGGCAATTTTAACAATAGAATCTTACTAAAATTATTAAATATAAAATTATTACTGATTATTTATTTAGTTTTAAATTGTCAGCCTTTTTATTTTCTTATTTTGTATCAATATATTCTCTAACTGCATAACCTACAATAGCTGCTGATAAGAGATTTGGTGTAAAATTAAGCATATGTAAATCATGCATACACATTTTTAATATATATATACATGTTTCATATATGTTTTATAATGTCTAACTAAAGATAAATTTTGAGATATTACTTATCATTTAGACTGAAACATTTATAAAATAGATTTTATAAATAATCTAAAGGAGTTGGAAAATAGACATTAAATTATAAGGTCTCCAAAATGGTTTATTCCATATTTTTAACTTTAAGACTATTAAATTTATTATGTCCAACTCTAGTTACAATGTCATTTAATGGAATATGATATATATCTTCAAGTTTAGATGCTATGAACATACAACTGATGCCCATTAGATGCACATCTCCATCATAATAATACATAGAAGTTTTTTTGAGAAAAGCATCTAGTAGACCAACAGCTCGAAAGTATGTCTATGATGTTGTAGTAGTAGGATAATTTCCAAATACTTCAATCATCCAATCAATCATCTTGGCTCTCAACATTTCTTTAATTCCATGTTTTTTAATAGAGAAACTAAAAGAAACTGTATCTTAACATAGGTATTGTTAATGGTCATGATGATAATGCCAATTATAAGTGATATTTCTTCTTAATTAAGGGTTATTTACATCATCTGATAAGGCATCTATAATAAATATAAGATAATAGATATTTACATCTTTATTAGACAGATTCATCATTATGAATTTGGAAAGAACTCATTTAGAGATGATAAATTTAAGATTTCTATAAATTTTCATTTTCTGATAATAAATCCAATAGTTTTCCATCTTCTGGATGTGTTTTATCTTCAAATTACTAATAAAATAAGAAATTTCTTTTACAAAAAATTTGGAAGAATTACTGGTATTTAGACTAGAAATAGAGGATTTGTTAGTAGAGCATGCTCTCTAATAAAGTATGAATGAAAATAATTACCTTGATTACAAAGTTCTTTTATGTTTCATTCAATTTTAATCTGGAACCATTACGACGAGCAAACATTTATTGTTAAATATAGTGAAATGTTGTCAAATAATAAATTTTGGTAGTTTTAGTCAATTGTTAGTAAAATATTTTCCTTTTTCACTCTAATATATATATATATATATTTATATTTATATTAAAATAAAATTCAAATTTAAAAGAAATCATTTTACTCTAAAGATTATTTAATCTCTTCAATAGATTTTATACTCTGTTAAAAAGTAGACTATTCATTTAATGCTTTATTTAATATTTCTAAGAATTCTTGTTTATCATGTATATCTTAAAAATAATAGATAATACATAATTACTTTATTCTAATTATTATTCTTCTCCATCTGTTTCAACCTCTTCCTCTATATCTTACATTAATAAGTTTTAACATGCCATAACAATTTAAATATCTTAATTGATACCAATATCATTAAGAATTCTATTACCTCTAAAAGGTACTTTTTTATTATTGAAATAAATAAATGCTTCATTAGAGAATTATATTGCATCTGCTCCTAAATTGTAAATGGAAAATAGAAAAGTGCGAAATTTCATTATATCCATCCATGGACATATAGGTGTTAAGATGGCTTATAATGTAGTGATATTTCTTGGAAATATTATTACAAAGATAATATTTATAATTTCTTTGCAAATACATAATCCTTCATCTAAATTATCACAAAGAAAATAGTTGTTGATTTGAGGATGATGTTTAGTAACAAATACAATTACTTCGTAATCTAAATCATTCTCTATCAGTATATATACCTGCACCATAATATTGTTTAAAAAATAGCCATTCATCAATAGTAACAACATAGAAATCTACAAATTGTTAAGCATCTTATTTTAACCCATAAACATGCGAATAGTTAATTTGTTGATAACAAGGAATAGTATATTATTTTAATGAGACTGATTTATCAATTGCTCTCTATACTATGCTAAAATTTTGAATTTTATTAAATCTAGAAACATCAACACCTGATGGATTTTATAAAAATCTCTAAAATTGTTTATACCTTATATTGACATTCATTAATACCAGTTTGCTGAAATAGCATATGCATATCCCTCGGAAATTCTATGATTTTTAGACATATATTAGTTTAAAAAGTCATCTTCTGTCATTATTGCTTTTTATTAATAATTGATTTTATATATATAATAATCATCTTATATTTATATAATTAATTATTATTTCTAATGCTCTTTAAAATTTTTCGCAATACTCTAATTACAATTCCAAAATCAACTCCTAGATTTTATTTCAATTAGATTATAGAGCCAACACAAACACCATAGAATGAAATGTATTCAACAGTATTAGCTACAGAATAATACAAGTATAAATTTAATTATATTTGTGGTTGATATGGACTTGAATAAATGCAACATGGTAAATATAGAGTGGCACTTTAATTTTTTGGAAGATTTAAGAATTTTTTAGAAACTAACAACTTAAAAGATAAGGAATGGATTGATGTTTCAAGAAGGTACATATATCTTTATAAAAAATTAATAGAATTGTCTATTCAAATCTATAACTAAGAAGATATGAGGATGCCGAAGCATAATTAGAAGAAATAATTAGATAATTTTTAAGACAAAAAGCAAATTATGCTCTTGTGTATTCTGCATATAGTGATTTATTAACTCATTGTTTGAAATACAATTTAAATAAGGCAATACTTTTAGGTAAAGCTTTATTAAGTGAAATGTAAAGAGAAAATGTCCCTTTAGGTTATTAGAAACAATTTTTGTATTTTTTGGGAGTATCAAATTTAATCATTATTAAAAGACTGCATATTTATTAAAAGAAAATTATACTGATGCCAAATCAAGATTAAGAGAGTGTTTGGCTTCAGATCCATCTAATTAATTAAAAGGATGGGCTTATAATAGTTTGGCTGTTGCTTCATGGTGGCATAAATTTCCAAGTCTTAGAGAATTTGTAAGTGATGATGAAGAAGAAACAGGACCTTAACAAAGTGATATTCCAGCTGAAAATATAGATGCTGATTTTGAAAATGTGATACCTTTATTTAAAAAGTCAATTTATTACATAGAACATTCAAATAATTAAATTAAAACAGGATTAGAATGGTTATTAAATGAAGATCTATTACCATAAGATAGAACTAATCTAACAAAAACATAATTTAAGAGTTTACATGTTGGAAAACCATTACTTAATTTAAGTGAATTTGTATTAAATAAAGCACCCTCTAAACGTGCAGAATTATAATTTTGGTTGAAAACTACCATAAACTTTTATGAAGAATAAGATCCAACCAATATGGACAGATCTCTCTTATTTTTGGCTTGGATGTGCAGTACTAATAAATACGTATTATATAAATGAAAAAGTTTATAGTTTGATAGAGCAGAAAGCATGTATAGAATAGTTTTACAAATGCTTGAAAATTCAGATTCTTATAATAAAGTATTATGTATGTAATTACTTGGAAGTATGTTGAAAAAGATGCCTAATAGAGGTAGTGAAGGAGAATGTAAATAATCATTAATTATTTAGAACTAATCATTAAGGCTTAGTAGATTGCTGAAGAATTACCCTATTGGTCCAATAGATAAGTACATGTTATTGTACCTGATTTTGAAATCTGATTAATAATTTAACTAATTTATAATTGAAAATTGAAGATCTCCTTGATATTAGTGTTGAAAATTAATTTCATTATGTCAATTACATTATAAATATCAATTTCAATATTGAGATCCTCAATATTAAAATTGATTCAAAGTAATTCTTAAATAGCCAATTTAAGGAATCAATTTATTGAAGAAATTGCATCAGAAATTGGATATTATAAGAAATATTCTATTTTTATAACTATATGATAATCATCATTCAGTAATTTAACTGAAATTTTATACATTATCATTCTCGCTTATTCAAGCAAATAAAAAATTTAGATCTGAATAATTACAAACACAAAATCTGTGTTCATAGAATAAAAGATATCTTGTATTAAATTATAAAATTGATATTGAAAAAATACTAAAATAATTTTAATGAATAATATTACATAGACTAACAATATTAAGATTAATAGATAAAAATATAATGAATTAAGATTACAAGTATTTATAAAGTGAAAATTTAAATACAAAAGGATTGATAAACATGAAATTTTAAGGAATTATTACATAAAAAATTCATTAGAATCTAAATTATAAGAAACCTTCAACAATAAAAAATCAATATATTATTCAAATCTTTGTTAATCTTTATCTGTATCTAAATCTAGCAATAAATAAAAAGAGCTCACTTATTGTTAATAATAATCCCTCTTGAATGGATAGAATTTAAAAATATAAATTTAGATTACAATAAGATAGATAATTAAAAGATAATAAATAATAACAACAACGTCAAGTTAAGATGTAAGTCTAAATAAATTAAATAATTTATTTTAATTAGCTAAAAATCAATGAATATAGAATAATATTCTCTAATTTTCAATTAAATAATAATAAATATTATCTCTATATTCTAATATTATACTTTACTTTCATTTAATGATTTTTTTAGTTTTTTCATTCTATTTGGCCATTTATAGGGTTTATTTATCAGCCTTTTAATTTATTTTATCTAATTAGGAATTCTGATTTTTTATAACTTGATTTGTTAAGAGTTATTAATATTTCATTTAATTTGTTTAATTAATCATCTCATCATAAATTTCATCAACCTATCTTTGTGGTGGTTATTGAATTTGTTATTATTAATTATTTTTTTCTTTTTATTCTAATTTCTCTTATTTAGGTTTAGTGAAGAGAGCCTTAAATTAACCCCATGGAGATTTAATAACATCCAAAATGTAATCAATTTTATGTAACTTCTATTAATTTTAGTCTAAATTTTGTTCAATTCTATCAATTTTTTCACCTTGATTATGAAGCTAATTTAAATGAATAAATGTATACAGTCAAGAGTGAATTTGCAGATTATTGATTTATTTAGTACATATTATTTAAGATATCTTATTGTTGTTATTTAAGTTTAAGTTCTTATTCTTAATTTAAAGCAGCTTGATTCTGTTTTTATATTTGTTATTATTGCATAAAATTTTAAATAGAGATTTTTTTTGTGATTAAAATAAATTCCATTTATTATTTTGATGTAAAGAGATTTAACTCCATAAGATGTGTTACCTTTAATTGTAGAATACTTGAAATCAATTGGATTAAAGAAATCTGCAAAGTAAATTGATTCTTTATATGAACATGATGAAACTCCAATGATTAACAAGGATTTATAAAAAATAATTAAATATTATGTTGAAGGACATCCGTAATAAGCAATAATATATTGATTAGTAAACTTGCTGCTAAATTTATTAATGAGATTGAAAATGAAGAACAAGAAGAAGAGGAAACAGAATAATCAAAAGAGGAAGTGAAGAATAATAAATAATCTGGAAAAACATTGTCAGATAAAAGAACATTCACTTAAATGAATAGTATAGAGATATTTAAATTAAAGAAATAGAAATTAATGAAGAAGTTGTAGATTAAAAAGAAAAGAAGAGATTTTTCTAAAAATGTGATGAAACAGTATATGATAAATTACCTGATCATTTGAGAGATAATACATTTGAGGCTAAAAAGAAATTTGGAGAAGGAGATTAATATGGTGAGTTTGGAAATGAAAAATTAAAGTTTACAAGAGGAGATAATTTCAAGAAAGAGAAAGGAAAATTAAAAAATAGATAATTTTAAGGTATGGGTAGTATTAATTTGAATTCAATAAACTCAATTAAGTTATGAAAATATAAAATATTTAATATTTATTTCATTATGATCTTTAAATAAATAGATTGTTAAAGAATTGTTTTTTTCTTAGAATTCAAATATATGTATAACTATCATTTTTTTTTATAATTTTATGATGATGATTAAATAGTTAATATAAAAAATAGTTTATTAACGAATGCTAGGAAGTAGAAGAGTTCGTTCACACGAATCATCACTTACTAATTTAGATGTTTATAATCCTAATTCCCCAGTTAGAATTCAATAACATATAAATCATCATCAATTTAAAACTTAAAAATGTTAGATTCAACATCAAATTAACCAAAAAAAGTTTTGTCCATTTTTTCATGACGAAACTGATCGGAGAAGAGATCTTAAATATTATTCTTATAAGTAAATAAAATCTTAAATATTTATTTTCAGATGTTAATTATGCCCGCAAGCTGATAATTGTCCCTAAGGTGATGAATGTCAATTTGCTCATAATAAAGTAGAGCAAGTATATCATCCAAATAGATACAAGACTAAATATTGTACTCACATAAAAGATTGTGATTATGGATTCTATTGTTCATTTGCTCATAATGATCAAGAATTAATAATCCCTGTTAAATTAGATGGTATGGTTCAAGACAAAAATTTCTGGATGTATTAATACAAAACTGTTTGGTGTCCACTTACAATCAAGTAAGATTTTAATCTTAAATAATATTCTTAGTCATGATAGAGCATCATGTGTTTATGCTCATAATGCTTAAGATTTTAGAAGAGATCCAAAGAAATTATAACCAAAAGAATGTCCTCATTGGAATAAAACTAATTAGATATTGAATTATGATAAAGGAGGATGTCCAGATTAAGAAGAATGTTAATATTGTCATGGTTGGAAAGAATTCGAATATCATCCATTAATCTATAAAACTAAACCATGTACTTAATCCAATTGCAATAAGAAGTTAGCTGAATGTGCATTCTATCATTCAGATCAAGAGAAAAGGTACAATTTTCAGTTAAATTTTATAAGGATTCGTAAATAATTAGCAGATAATTAATGGGTAATGGAAGAACCTAATATACATGTTGAAGCTAAAAGATAACCATACAAACCTACATCAAATTATCTAGGTCCTATTATACCTAATTACATTCCTTAAGATTATATGAGTAAAGAGAAAATGGAAATTGGATAACCATTTTGTTAATAATCTATCACAAATACAAAAACATCTGATTCTAATTCAAGAAGAGGATCTGATTTTTCAGATGGCTCAAAAATGCATAAAAAAAAGCATAATATACAATAACAGTTTTAACCTTAGAAAAAACATCGAACAGCCCCAACTACTCCAGATTAAAAATAATTACATATTATGGGCAATAATTATACTATAAAAGCTTAATAAAATGTTTAAATTAATTCCCATCTTTCTTATTCAAAAAAACTTTATGAAGAAATACTTAAATTAAATGAAGTAAATTTTATATATCTATATTAATTTTAGGGAGAGTGTATTTATAAAATCTTATAAGGATTTAAAATATCTGAATAAATGTTGATGTAAATGGGAGATTAATAAATTAAATAACTTAATCTCAGTGAATAATAAATTATTTAACTTACATCAGCCTTAGCAGCTATTAAAATAGAGAAAAAATATGATGAACACTGTGGTGATGAACTTCTTAGTTTGATATCAAACTAAGGCAAATTTTGAAATTTTCAATATGCATAAAATAACATTAAAATAAATTTTCCATTTGCATATAAATTTGATAATATAATTAATAATTTCTTTTGAGAATACTAATTTAATTCATTCACAATTCTCCACACTCTTCAATAATTATTATTTATTTTGGTTTATTTTAAGGACCAACAGGTGTTGTTTCAATTCTTCTAATTACTTACATTGATCCTGCATCAATTACTTTACCAAAGACAACATGTTTTCCATCTAACCAATCACATTTAGTACAAGTAATAAAAAATTAACAACCATTACTATTTGGACCAGAATTGGCCATTGATAATAATCCAGGTTCATCATGTCTTAATTAAAAATTCTCATCTTCAAATTTATCTCCATATATTGATACACATCCTGTTCCATCCCCCTATACTTATATAAAATAAATACCATCACAAAATCACCTCCTTAAATCATGAAATCCTTGATTACTCTATGAAATTAACAACCTTTGTAACCAGTAGGTTTATCAAATTTCTTATATTCTCCAGTGCATAATTGTCTAAAATTTTCAGCTGTTTTTGGAACTACATCAGCATACAATTCAATTCTAATTCTTCCAACTTTTTAACCTGCAATAGCCACATCAAAAAACACAATTGGATTTTAAGGATTTCTAATCATATATTAATTAATTATATTTTCAGTTTAAATTCCTTTCTTTCTTATTAATCATTCTCAATATACTTTCATTTTATTCTAGATATTTCTTTTTATTTTCAATAATAAATTAATATGGCTTTCATTTCAAATAATGGATTGGAAAACCTAAAAAAATATAAATATGTATCAGGAGGATACTCTTATTTAGATAATAAGATTAATCCATTCTGGATATTTATAAGTGAACTTTATCCTATGGTATATCTATTAATCTATTATTTATAGTGGCTTGCTCCAAATTTGATTACATTTATTGGATTTATAATCATGATCTTAGCTTGTTTATTTCAAGTTTTTGCTGATATGACATTGACACAATAAATACCAAATTGGACATTTTACTTTATGGCATTTGCTATATTTGCATATTAAACTTTAGATGCAACAGATGGTAAATAAGCAAGAAGAACATCTTCATCATCACCATTGGGTTAATTGTTTGATCATGGTTGTGATTCATTTATTATGCAATTTTTCATTATTGGAGCTGCATAAGCAACATAGATGGATAGAGATACATTATTTTATTTATAATTCTTTTGCTAAATTGGTCTTTGGGCAATTAACTAAAAAGAGTATTATACTGGTGTATTACATACTCATTTAGCTAATTTTGGTGTAACAGAATTGGAATTAGTAGCTATTTCAGTTTAATTGGTATCATTATTTATATATATATATCAATTAGTTTTCTGCAATTTTTGGATAGAATGCTTGGCATAATCCAATATTAGGATTCAATTTATATTAAATAGTTACATCAACTATTTTATTTTCAGCTATAATAGCTGATATTTTTTTGTTTTTCTCAAATATTTTTAAATCTTAAAAGCCTTTAAGAGTATTTAGTGAATGGATTCCTTTATTTTTATTTTGGACATTATGTATAAAATTAATTTTATTTATATTAGAATTTGTTTGGTTTTCATCCCCAATTTATAGTTAGCTTGCTGGACCATTACTAATTAATTTTGGAATTATTTTATCATCAATTGTGTGTAAAACAATTGTTTGTTCTACTACCAAAGTAATTTATATATTTATCTTAGGATTAAACTCCCTTATTTCATTTTGAAATGCTACCCTTTATAATTATCAGTTTATTAACCTATTTTATTAAGTTTAGTTTAGAAAACTTGAAAATATTATTTTGGATATAGTTCATATCTACAATTGTCCTAACTCTCTTATTTATTAAGAATGTAATAAATTAAATAACTACATATCTTGAGATAAGTTGTTTTACAATCAAGAAGAAATAATATTGATTATTTGTAAAAAATTAAGTATTTGTCAAATTTTATTTTATATAAGAATAAGTTTCTTAAAATATATGAATATGATATTAATAAAATTTAACAATTCAAACGAACTTAAAAATCTTTTATTTCTTTTTGATAGAAAGTTCCTTTTAATCTATCTATCTTTATAAACTATGAAAGTGAAAAAGCTTTTGTTTCTTTGTGATTCAATCTAAATTATTTCAATTACTAAGTCATTTATAGATTGTTTGTTAGTTAAACAATCTAAATTCTATATTCAATTTTTTAATAATTAGAAATCAAAATGAGTACATTGAATATTGAAAAGAATAGATTCATGAAGAAAGCATATGAAAGAAAATCACAAAGAGAAATATCTACAAGTCCACTTTTAATGATATTGAAGACAGATGAAGAAATTGATGATCTAAATTCACCCATTTCTCCTCATTTATAAATACCAATATTCAGTCCAACTAAGTTCATATTTCCAAACTTGGCATACTAGAAAAAAATTAAATGATGTTATTTCTTAAATATACTTATTTTCATCTCAAAATTTTATCAATAAGCATCCAAATTTTTAGTTTGATTGTCTATTCAAATCTTTATCAAGACTTTAATAAGTTATAACAATCAAATTCATTGAATTTTGTTCTATTTTTAAAAATTTTCTATTTTTATATCAGAAATCAAATATATTAATCCATTTCTATATTCTTATATTAAGTTATAGAGTATAGACATTGAAGTTATCATCCTATAATCAATATTAACAAGAAATATGAGTAAATAAAACAAAATTAAGATAAATCATTTTAAATAAATAGAAATTAGAAACAAATAATTATTTTAAAAAAAAATATTGAAATAATTCTTATTTCCAATATTTAGAAAAAATTATTTAACTGATTTGAAATCAGACTTGGATAGGCTTGAATAGAAATTTAATTCAAAATTATTTTGGATAATCATATTTATTCAATATACAAATACTTCTGAAAGACTAATATTAACATTATATTATATACCTTGACATATTCCATTTTATATTTTACTTTTATAAAATATATATGATTAATTAATGTATTTTTGAATAAATTGAAATAAATGTAATCTTATCAGAAATACATCAATTTTATATATTAATTTTTGTATATCCTATATGAAATTTATATATATATTTATAAAATTTAAATTTGAAAATCCCTCTCAAATGATGTAACTTAGAAGTGGAACACTAAAGAAGCCCCCTGCTAGAATATGTATGTCTTCATATCAGGTATTTTATGCTGAAAAAGCTGCCTAAATGAAAAAAGAAGGAAAGATGAAAGGTAAGGAAATTCAGAGCAAGATAAGGGAAATGTGGAAACAAATGGATGAAGAGGAAAAAGATAAATATGAAGATGATTTCGAAAAAATGGAGGCTAAATATAAAGAGGATTTACTTTTGTATTATGGAGGAAGTGCACAAGATTTGAAAAAGTATAAAGCTTTAATGGAAATACCTGAAAAGCCAAAGAAGCCAGTATCAGGTTGTTTAGTTTATATAGCAGAGAATAGAAGGGCATATTCTGAAGAAAAACCTGATTTATCCTTTGGTTAGGTAACAAAGGCATTAGTGGATCAATACAATAAACTTTCAAATAAAGATAGAAAGAAGTATGATGATGAATTTGATAAAAAATTAGAACATTATCATAAATAAATGGAGGATTGGACAAAGTAAATACTTATTTTTATTATATTAGAAAGTATTCTGAAAAAAGAGAATAATTTGATTAATTGATTGAAGAGAAATTTAAAAGATCAGCCACAAGATAAGATTTATAATATTAAGAATTACCACCTTATAAAAGAGGTCCAAGAAAAATGAAAGATGATGATGAAACTGCATAATAGAAACCAGAAAAGGATGAAAAATAAGATTAAATGAAGAAAGATGACAAAAAGAAAGAAGAAAAAGATAAGTAATTATAATTATAGAATAATAATAGTAAAAAAGGAACCAAAAATGCCAAAGATGAAGGCAAAGGGGAATCCAAGAAAATGAATGAAAAAGATTAAAAAGATAAAAAAGACATGAATCGCAAAAAATCAGTAGGTAGAAAATATTGATTTGATTTTTTTTCGATTTTAGAATAAATTTTGCTTTTACATTTTATATTATCCTCTTATGGATATAAATAATGTTATTATATCATATACTCAATATCTTATTTATAGATTGCACCTCCGACAAACTATTAAGCAGATTTAATTCATTTTAATTATTTTCCTCCTCTTCTGCGAAACGTGTTAACTAATTAATCTAAAAGGCATTTAAATTATGTAAGTTTAAGTGATTATTTGCAATAGCTCTATAAGCAATACAGGGTCTAATTTAATATTTCATTGTCTAAATCCCAACTTTCATTATAAATTTACAAAACATGATTGTCTTAAATTTGATTTATATTTTATTTATGAAAAAAATGCTATTCTAATTATTCCTATTTATTAAAATAAAAATTATATATTATCCTGAAAGTATAATTTATAAACAAATAATAAAACAGAAAGGTTTGAAAATTAAAATGATTTTATTATGATTGTTGATAACTTTAAGTATATACTAAATTATTTAATATTCAATATAAAATTAATTATTATTTATTCATCAAATACTTTCATGAACTCAATTCTATCTTATAAAGGATCTTCTAAGTTTTTGTTTTAAAATTGTATACTTAGGGTATGTAATAACTTTTATCTAAAGGCTCCAATATTAACTTAATTATTAATAAATAAAAAATATCTAAACTTATATTTAGTCTTTCAATCTTATGAAATCTTGTTATTTAAATGAGATTTATAAATTCAGATTTTTTTATCTTAATTGATGAATGTAATAAACTTATTTTAACTGATTTTTTGATTCATAACATTTTTTTTAAGAATTTTACTATTTAATTACCTTATGAGTATTATTAGGGTTATCTTTTAACTTCAATCTTTCTAGTAGCCTTGAAATGGTTATTAAGATGGGTTTATTTAGTCTATTTTTATTTTCTTAATAAGTTCATCCACTGAAAGAGATAGATTCTTAATTCATTTAAGGATTAAAAAACACAATTTAAAATAGAATTATTATCTTTAAAAGAGTTAAACTAATTATGTAAGAATTAATATGTAAAAATAATTTTAATAATTGTTAAGTCAATTAAATTTTTTATAATTCTAGTTTTTAGATCTTTCCTTTAACCATTTTGGTGCTAGAATCTAAAATTATATGAATTATTTTTTGAACCTTAATCAAGACAAAATTATAGAAACAAGAAGGAACGATTTTTTGAAATTCTGCTTATATTTCATGATTCCAATGTCCACTTGTATTTGATCCCATCCTTTTTAGTAAACCATTAGCACAATCTGAAGCAGATATTGTAAGAAAACTTGGAGGTCTATTTTATGTCATATTGGTTGAGACTTCACCTGGACTTAAAGAGAAAACTTCTAGTTCTGGATATTCAGCATTTATTGTAGTGGTTAAGAATTCTCCAAATGCTTTGGTAGCACTATATACATTAAAATATGGAGTTGGAAACTTTCCTGCTAAAGATGTTACATTAACAATTGCTGATTTATATTAATTTCTTTTTAAAAATCTAGGAATAAATCTTTTACAAAGCATAGTGATTGGAAAACAATTTACTGTTATTGTATTATATATTTCTTCATCAGAAAGCAAGTGAAATTTATTAAGTACATCAACTCCAACATTATTAACTAATACACTAACATCTCTCTCTCCAACTTTATCCATAATTTAATCAAATATATTTTTATCTGTTGATTAAGAAAAGTCAGACACTATAATATGTGATTCTGTTGTTAATTGTTTTGCTACTGCTTCTAATTTTTATCTATTACGAGCTACAAGAATTATCTTGAATCCTTTCTATGAAAATTATATAGCCAATTGCTTTCCTATACCATCTGATGCTCCTGTAATTAAGATCCATGATCCAATTCCATATTTCTATAGATTAGTGTTTGGACGTATCAATTTCCATATAAAAGTTATTACATTCAATAATTTAAGTAATACTAATAATCCTAAAACATATAGAAATGATTGAAATATAGGATAGTCTTAAATTTATTGTAAAATCATTAATATTATGTTTTATTTGAGGAATAATTTGATTAGTTTATATCGATTCACAACTTAGCCTAAGATGTACAATTGATATTCAATTTTAGAGCATTTATTTCTTAAGAGCAATTCTTAGGAGAAATAGGTTATCTATTACACAAAATTGAATAATCATTTAATAAACTTAGAGAATATGAAAATAGAATTGAAATTAAATCAGATGCTCTTGCTCTATGTGTAGCTGTTAAAGATTTAGGAGAATATAATTTTACAACTAATGTAAAAGAAAGGAGATTATATCTATAAACACCATTTAATTTATTCTAATATTATTATGATGAACAAGCAGATTAATGGAAAAATGTTAAAGATCAGCACAATATGATTGAAAATTTGACTAGAGAGACAGGCAAGTATTTAAAAGGATACTTGGAATTTTGATGAAATTAATCTAAATAACATTAAATTATTATTTATTCATTTTTATATTATAATTGTATAATCTTCAAAATCATATTATATTATTTAAGATTCTATATAATAATGATAGTAATAATATAAATAAGGATATCATATTTTTGTTGTTGTTGTAATAGCATAAAGTTAAATATTATAGAAAGAAAACATGATTAATAATTATTAGCATAAACTACATGTGTTGTTCTACTAATATTTCAATAATATCTTAATATTATTTAATAAAGTTCTTAATTACTAAATAATATAAGAGTAAAAAGACCATCATTATCCTTTAATAATATCTTTAGTTATTTAACTAATATATATTATATAATAAAATTATTAGAACAATAATGATAATATTATAAGTTAAATTTCAATAATTTTGTATTAAATAAGAATCTTATCTTTTTTTGATAGATTATTAATGAAAAATTTATTTGTTTCTATTTAATATTTATATTAAATATGTATAATGTAATGATCAGAATCCCCATCTAAATCTTCCAGGTGGATAGAAGGGACCAGCTAAGAATCTTCCAGAAGCCATGTATTCCTTAATTTAAGGAAGGTTAGAAAATTCTTGATGATGTTTTTAGAGGTTAGCAAACTTGGCCCATGATTCAGCATTGAAAGCTTTCAATGTTTCTTCTAATTCGAAGAGAGCAAAGTCAATATATGTAAGATTGGCTCCAGCTGCCCAAGTCTTTCCATCAATGAATTTATCTAATCTTTCAATTAACCAAGCGACTTCATTGGCATAAATTTCCTCTTTCTTGGCAGCATATTGATCTTCAGGGAGAGTGATAAGGTGGAAGAAACCTTTTAAGGCATCTTAGATAACACCTCTCACTTAAGCAACAGCTACTTATTCATCTGGTGTGGATCCCAAGAGATCAGCTCTATTAGCCTTATGTGCCAAATAGACATAAAGAGCAGCACTCTCGTAGACATACTTCTCACCATCTTTAATATATGGGAGGTTGACAAGAACATGGGTATTGAATGGAGCTTATGCAAGTCCTCCAAACCATTCTTCAGGTTTGAGATATCTTTTATCTTCATATGGTAATCCCAAGTACTCTAACATATATCTCACTAAAAGGGATGATATTAATTCATACATGGTTAAGCCAATCCTCTGATTCCCCAATATCCTAAAACAAGTTGATCTGCCATATTAATTTATTACTAGATGACGAATCAAATTTGGATATAAATTGTGTAATATAAGTCTAGAATTTTCTATATAGAAAAACTATATTATAATTATTTTACACAAAATCATAATTCAGCTTTTGGATCAACAACTTAATTAGCTGCATTATCTACAATCCATTTAACAAATCTTTCTTCTTAGATTTTGTTTGCTCTAATTACGAATTTATTTGGTTAGTTATTTTTATATAATCTAATTTTAACGATTTCAATTGATTCTGCTAAATCGCTAACTTCATTTTAAGATAAATCTATTTTATTAAAAGTCAATTATTTATTTTATTGGAGTCTTTCAGCTACCTTCAAGAATTGTTCTTAAACTGCAGTACTAAATAATTAAATTTAATATATTACTGTTCTTCATTTTGAGAATCATAATATAAGATTACTGAATCATTAACTGATCTTGCATCATCATAAGTATCTCCAATAAGAATTTTGACTAATCCTTATTATTATGGAGCAGCTTAAGATTTAAGATATTTATGAGCTTTTCCTGATTAGAATGCTTCCAAGAATTCACTAACACTTTATCCTTCAACTCTTTTATATCTTTAATCTCCTTTAATAATAAAAACTCCTTTTTAATCTTGAGATCTAACTTGGATTTTTCTTGTAAATTCTTCATCAACATTTTTAATGAAAAGTAATTCATCTTAGAAGGACCAATTTTAGGCAGCATTTTATACTTCTTATTCATCAGAAAAGATAACAACAAAAGGTTTACTTTTTGTTATTCTTTCATCTAATTATTCCTTTTTTTCTGAATACTCTTAAATTCTTTCATTAGCAACATTTTCAACAAAAGTTCTCATTATTGGAAATGAAAGTTTTCCTTAATAATAATATGGTTTTTAATTTCTAAATCCAACAAAGTATGTTCCTTTTGGAATATTGAGAGTTTCTCTAATTGTTTTACTTGTAGTATGAGCAAAATGTTATTTCATTGTGAATGAGAATTCCTTATATTTTCTTAATTCTCTATCTTTTTCACTTTATTCTTCTGCAAAATAAATAAATTAAACATTATTTTATGCAATAGCCTCATTTACTTATTCAAGAGTTTCAAATAATTCACTTTCAGGATTAAGATTGCTGTAAATCCAATTTTTAATACCATCAGCTGTTCTACCACCTTCAAAATCTTTAACAGCTTATTTGACACTAAATTTAATAGTTGGATATCCTTTGACTCCATATTTTTCAGCTAATTTCTTTTAGACTGTTGCATCAATCTTAGCCAAAACAATTCCTTCAGGTCTAAGAGCAGTGGCAGCTTCAGCATATTTAGGTGCAAGTTCTTTGCAATGTCCACACCAAGGAGCATAAAATTCAAACATTAAATAATCGAATTCATTGAAAGCTTAATCAAATGTTTCTTCTGTGAGTACCATAACATCACCATCATATTCATAATCAGCAATTACAGCAAAAGCAAGTAAGGAGAGCAAGAGAAGCGATTTCATAATTTTTATTATTACGTGTATTTAATTAAAAATTCTAGAATTTAAATTAGAAAATTTTACGAATTATATTATTATTTTTAGAAATTCTTAAATAGATTCACATTGATTATTTAATATTCTATTATTAAACATAGATGATGATTAATTTATATTAATATATCAATTCCTATCATCTATATGGTCATTTAATACAATATCATTTTTACTTCTATTAATTTTTCAAATAATTTACTATGGTCAAAATATACCAAATGAAATCCTTAATTTTTAATTTGTAAATGATCATTTTATATAACTAATATATTTAATATCTCTTTAAATACATATAAGTTCATAAATGTTCCCCTTTATTATGAATGTAACCCCTTAAGAATTTGTTTAATCATAGTACAAATTTTGTTTTACTATTACTTTAAATCCTTTAAAATTAGATTGGTAACATCTTCCAGTACTTGTAATTACGTATCAAGTGTAGAGTAACTTTTGATCATCTCTATCGGTTCCTTTGAAGAATAATGGAAACTTTTCTGTATGAGTTTTTCATATTGCAGAGGACACATCTATTTATTCTTGGCCAAATTTACTTAGCATTAAACTGTAGGGAATATATGAAATAATTAATTTAATGAGTTTATCTGATTTACTAGATGATCATGGTGATAGTGCTAATTCTTAATTTGGCATTAATCCACCAAGTTATAATGAAGAGCAAGTGAGATAATAATTCAGGGGTCCTGCAAAATTGGCAACAAAAATTGATCCTTTATAAGAAGTTGGAGATTATTCAATTAAACCACCATCTAATATAAGTTTACCAAAAGCAACCGATTAGATAAATCCTTCTTAATCTCCTAATTCAGGACCTTTTTAATTTACTCCAAAGACTTCTTTGTTGGAAGAGAAAATTTTAGGTAGCGCTACAAATAAGGAATAAATAAGAGATTTGGCTTAAAGTAATTACACTAATATCCCTAAAGAGGGAGTAAATAACTTCCTTAAATTAGTGATTGCTAAAAGTCGTTATCATCATTTTATTGATCTTTTAGTTTAAAGAGCATATGTTAAAAAGCTTTCTGAATTTAACATTTATCAAAACACAATGCTAGATGATTTAAGATACATTGATTCAAAATACCATGTTCATAAAAATTTAATAGGAAAGTTTTGTAAGAAATTAAGATTTGTTCCCATTTTAGATTAAAGTAGTTACATGGTAATAGGTTGGTAATTGTTATATATACTTACAATAATAATAATTTTTTTTTGGACTCCCTTCAATTTATCATTTGGAATTACATTGAATTAAGTAATATTTGGGAGTATGATGGTAAAAGAAGTAGAGTTTTACTTTCTCTTTTCTATAATAATAGATGGATTTATAGTGATAAATACATCATATATTAGAAAGGGAATCATTATAAAATCTAGGGGGAAGATATTCATAAATTATCTCAATACATAAGCAATCTATGATTTAGTAATCATATTTTTGATATTTTAAAGTGTTCAATTGTTTCAATGTTAATTGCTTAATACTCTAATGTAGATAGTGGTTAGGAACATCTAGGTTGGGAATTGATACCATATGCAGTTTATTATTGTAGTCGAATATTCAAATTATAAGGGAGAGTACATAAATTAGAAGAGTAAAAGATAATTTATAAATGATAGATTTTTCAATTTTTCAGGATGGGTTTAAGATGTTATTGAATTAATAAAACTATTATTTATGGTAATTTATGTTGGTCATTTATTTGCATGTCTTTGGCATAGTGTTGCTTTCTATTAAATAGGATATAATAAAACTTGGTTAGAGATTTATGATATAGTAGATGCAAATATATTCACTAAATACAATTATGCATTCTATTGGGCTGTTTAAACTATGATTACTGTTGGTTATGGTGATTTGACTCCATAAAATGATTATGAAAGATTATGTGCAAATTTAAGTATGTTTTTAGCTTGTGGAGTGTTTGCATTTTCTTTTAATAGTATAGGTCTTATGCTTAGTAATTTAAATTCAAGATAAGTACTTTATAAAAGAAGCACTAATTTATTGAATCAATTTCTAACTAAAAATTAAATTAAGGTTGAACTATAATCCAGAATTAGAAATTATTATGATTACATTTTTTAAGAAGAATAAGAAATAAATGATGAAGAAGTTTCTTAAATTACAACTAAATTATCTAGTTCTTTATAGGAAGAACTTAATTTTGAGATTAGACTTAATGTTATGAAAACTAATAAAGTTTTAACTAGATTCTCTTAAAAAACATTAAGAGAATTATCTTTGCTTATAGAAGAAGTCAGATTTTCTCCAGAAGATTAAATTATATAATAAGGTACTCAAGATGATTGTTCTCTTTATCTTATTACCAAAGGTACTGTTTCTATTCTTTTTTAAAATGAACTATAAGCTAAAAATATTAGAGTTCTATAATATTTGGAAAAAGGATAAACATTTGGAGAATATTCTTTTTTTACAGGTCTAAATAGAACTGCTTCAGCAAAAAGTATAGGATTTTCAAGAGCATACAAAATTGCAAGATAAAAATTATTAAATGTACTACAAACAAATGAAATTGATTTAGTAATATTCATTATATTATAATTATTAGGAACGTTTTTGTGAAGTAAGAGATTAAATTTTGTAAAGTGAAAATTATCAACCAGCATAATTATAATGTTATTCATGCAATAAATCTAATCATCTCATAAAGGATTGTCCTATATTACATTTTGTTCCTGACAAAGAGAAAGTAATTAAAAAGGAATATTTTCCTATTTAATAATAAAGAAATGTAACTTATATTAGATAGAGATGTGATAGGAATTATTATGCAACCTTATTAGAAATGAAAAAAACTCTTGAAATTATTAAAGAATTTTAATCAAATGAACTTTATAATGATAATTAAAATATATATGAAGAAAATTCAGATGTTTCATATGATGATAATGATGATTATCCATATGAATATTGTAAAATTTCTTATTTATTTATAGCCTCTTAAAATAAAAGTTATTCTAAAATTTCCAGATAATAATCAAAAAATTGTTCATATTCATAAAATGATAATAATCATTCCAATAATCCTAGAAATCTATAACCTATTTAAGAAAGTGAAGATTCTGATAATAGTGTAAGTCCAATTAAATAGAGAAATTCAGCTGTTAAAAATACTATATAAACTGCTGGTTTTGGTGGATAAGATTCTTTTTAAAATAAAATTAAATTAGATGATCATGATAAAGATATTATCAATATTACTAATTAAGCTTATCCAATTTCTAATAGTTATAAGGAAGATCATAGAATTCATTAAAAAAATGATAGATTACTTAGTCCTAGAGATATACCTAACAGAATCAATAAAAAAAGAATTACTGCAATTTAAAAATAAAATAGGGAAGAATCCTATTAACCATTCTCAACTCAAACTCAACTTGATCTAAATTAAGAAAAAGAAAAGTCTATTAAAAGAAAATCTAAACTTAGAGATACTTAAGGAGATATTGATCTTGTTTCTTCAGTTTAATCAGTTGAATATAAAAGAGATTCTATAGATATAAGAGATGATAAAAAAGAATTAAGAAGAAAAACTACAAAAACAAAAACAAATAGAAGCAGAACAGCTAAGACACGTAAAACTACTAAATTGATGTCAGAAAATCCATCTTAGGAAATATCTATACCAATGTTTGAAAAATAAGTTGTTTCTATGGAATTAGAAGGATTTGAAAAAATGAAAAACTATTAATTTTACTATATTTGGAATAATCCAAAAGTTGTTATATCTAGAGCAATTCGAATTTTAACAAAATATTTAGAAAGAAAAAGAAACATAGTACATTCATTTTCTTCTTATACATTTAGTGCTATAGCTATTAATTAAATGATAAAGATTAAGAAAAAACTTAAATTATTGTAATTTAATTTATTCATATTTTTAGAGATGATCCCCTTACTGATGAAAAAAAAGATAAAAAAATAATTAATACTCTTAATAAAACTGGTAAACCAAGAATAGGAAGTAAAAAAAGTACATATGGACAATCAGATGATATATCTTCATTATTTTAAAAGAAACCCTTACATACTGGATAAACTTCATTATCTCAAAGAATTTCGATGTCTAAACAAATTAGAACTGATTTGTGATATAAGACTATAACAAAAAAGTTCTCATAATCAATTAAATATTAATTTCATTATTATTTATTCATATTTCATTTAACTCAAAAATCTTCATTAATTATTTTTAACAAGTCAATAAATATTTTAAATCCTAACTAATTGATAAATAATCATAATTGAATTCTAAATTAATTATTTATTATACAGATATCCTACCATCATCTTTTATTTTCATGAATTTCAAAAAACCTTATCGTATGCTTACAAGTATTTTCTTATTTGGAGAATAAACTAAATTTTTAAATTCTGTAAATGCAACTCTATCTAAATCATCTATTTCCATCTTAAAAACAAATTATTTATTTTATTAATTCAGTACATATGATTTAAGAACAGCTTTTAGACTACAATTGCCTAATATATTTGATTTTATTTTTTTTTAACTAACAACTAAAATATTATCATTAATTAACTAAGATTATTTTAATATTGGCATTTCTAATTTACTTTATTCCACCCAAAATTAATTGGAACTTACATAATGATATATAATAATGTAATATTAAAACTTTATTCTTACAGTAGCTATAATTTTTGTTTCTGATTCATTAAAACATAATTTTTTTATTTTTGAATCATCAAATACAGAATTAGTTATATTTTGAATCATTCTCCATCCATTTTGGGATGTCCAAAACTCTAAATTTGCTCTCTTTTAACCATTAAAAATACATCCTCCACTTACAATTAGATTTTCTTTTTAATTCATTATTAAGCAAGTTATATTTTTACTAATTTCATCTAATCTATTATTAATCTGTAAATTTATTAAATATTTATTATTATTTTAAGCAACAATAGAATTTAAATGTATTCCTCCATGTTATTTACAGGTTTTAAAAAAGAGTTGACAATTTTTATAAGGTAATAATGATACTACTTAATTTTCATTTATTCTTTATTTTGATATAATCTTCATTGTTCCTGATTTAAATTAAAATATTTAAAGTAAAAATCCAATTTAAGATTATTAAATCATAAATAAAATTGAGAAATCATTATTAAATACTACCTTATCTGTTTTTGTTATAAATTCAAAATTGAATTCTGAAATCTAATAATATTTAAATTATGTTCCTCCCATATTATTTTAATAAATATAATTAATCAATTTTTATTCAATTTATATGTTAATAATTTACATAATGTTTCATATAACAATTTTATTTAATTTAAATTATAATTTAAAGAATATAAGAAGTAGAAGTTATAAGATTTAGTTCAAGATAATTAAATAGAAATTTAATAATGTAGAAAATTAAATTGATATTATATGGAATTGTTAAAATATTAGACTTTCTAATATATTAATTTCCAGAATAAGTTAAATACATAAGAAACATTTAAATATCAATGTAACCATGAAAATTAGAAACAATAAATTAAAATTAGAATTCTAAATTTACTATTTAATCCTTATATACATTTTTATATATTATTCAGTCCATCTTTATAGTCTAATTGATATTATAATTGTTAATATTAATAAAAATATAAATTTCAATGAAAAAATTCAAAGAGATTAAAAAAAGTGGAGATGGCACTTTTGGTGTGGTTATGAAGGCAGAAAACACAGAAAGTTTTGAATTAGTAGCTATCAAAAAAATGAAATAAAAATATCATAATTTTGAAGAGTGTACAAATTTGAGGGAGGTCAAAGCTTTAATGAAACTTCAAAATCATCCAAATATTGTAAAACTAAAAGAAAGTAACCTTTATTTTGATTTTTAATAGTTTTTCTTGATAATGATACTCTTTGTCTTGTATTTGAGTTTGTAGAAAAGAGTATATATTAAATATACTCTTAACATAGAGAATAAGTAGAATATAATCTAAACTTAATAATAGGGCAAAACAATGTCAGATGATCAAATCAAATCAATCATCTATTAGGTTGCAAATGGTTTAAGTTATATGCATAAGCATGGGTACTTTCATAGAGATCTTAAACCAGAGAATTTACTTATGACAGAAAATGGAATTGTGAAGATTATTGATTTTGGTTTAGCAAGAGAAATAAGATCACGTCCACCATATACTGATTACGTAGCCACAAGATGGTATAGGGTAAGTAGACCATTGACTTATTTAGGCTCCAGAAATATTATTAAAATAAATCAATTATAATAGTCCAGTTGATATATTTGCTTTGGGTTGTATAATGGCTGAGTTATTTCTTAATAGACCTTTGTTTCAGGGTAATACTGAATTAGAATAATTCAACAAGATTTTGTCTACTTTAGGGTATTATTCAAGAAATCTATTTTAAGCACATTTACATAAAGTGACTGGCCAGAAGGTTGTCGTTTAGTATCATAATTAGGTATGGGATTAGCACAATATTAACCTCTTCAATTATAGCAATTAATACCAAATGCAAGTATTGAAGCTTTGAATTTATTATCTCAAATGATTAAATGGGATCCAAATAAGAGAATTACTGCTTAATAAATTCTGACACATCCTTATTTTTATAATATATAAAAGATTGCTCCTTCATTAGTATTTGAAGATTAAGATAAACTTTGGAATAAGGATCTTAAAGATACAAACATTGATTAAAAATAAAAAACTACTACTTAAAGTTTAAAGGATGATGCATAACTTCAATTTGCAAATTAGTAGAAATTTGAAAAAACTGATAGCAATGATTTGGATGATATATTAGATTTCATTACAACTGAAAATAAACCTATAGTTCCTAAATAAACAACATAGAGTGCTAAGACTTTGGAATTTAAAGGACTTTAATCATCATCATAGGCTAATTTAAAATTGACTAAGAATTATTTAACTACAATCAATACCGATATGAATTAAAAGAAGGATAACAGTTCTATTTATGATTTTAGCCATTTGTAATCGTATAAACCTAAGATGCCTAATGCCAAACATTGAAAACTTTATCATACTTTAATGTAGTTTAATAGCTCTAATATTAAGATCTAAAATAAAATTAATTTCATATAAAATTTAAAAACAGTCTAAAGTCTAATTCTTTATATTTATTATCATTATAGAATTGATCTTTGGGGTTATCAAAAGAAAAAACTAAATCTAAAATATACCTACTTGTTTTCTTAAATATTTATGAAGTTGTAGAGAGTGTCAAGTCTCACAAAACATTATTATTAATATATATAATGGGTAATTATTGTTGTATTACAGCTATTGATGCGACAAAAACTTAAGAAGAAATTGTGTCTTCAAATAAATCAGACAGCATCAGAAAATCATAGGGAGACTCATTGCAAATAGCTAACTTTTAAGAATTGATATAGGATCATAGTTAATTGTATACATACTAAGATGGGGATGTTTTATTATCTTCTCGTCCTAATTCTCCTCGTTAATAACATGTGATTATCTATTTAGAACCAAAAATAGTGATAGAAGAAGAAATTAAATTTTAGTCAGATGCTATGAAAGGAATTTTAAGTGCAAGAACATATGATCAATTTTCAGAATCCCCTTATAGTTTTGGAAATTGTAAAGAAAAACCTTAAAAAAAAGTCTAATTCAGGGAATGAAAATCCAAATATGATATCTTATTTTAGTTTGTTTTTTTTTCCCTATTGAATTAGTTTATAATCATATAATGTTTGGCTGAATTAATTTTAAATTAGATTCTTATCATTCTTAATTATATGATAATAATTCAATGAAATTTTTTCAAGAGTAAAAGGTATAATGATGTAATGAATTTAATTAAGTTGAATAGACATGTTTTCTAGCTAAATATCATTCTATACAGTTTTTGATATTATTTTTGTTATTTAAGTTAAACTCATTAACTAAGAATATTAATCAAATACTTGATTATTAGATTTCTAAATAAGAATAAATTATAATTTAAACCCTCATAATAAGAATTTGAAAAATAATATATAGATAAATAACAAGGATGTTATTCTTAAAATATATTAATAATTTACTTATTAATATATATATATAAGGAAGAAAAAAAATTTAGAAATTTGATTAAATTGGTTTATAATCATCAAAATCAGTTGATTCTTCCTTTGATGTATGAGGAGGCACCTTCCAACTTGGTGGCGAGGATTTATTCGACTTATCTGATGATACCGATTTCAACGGTTCTTTATTCGGTGTCTCTAGCATATTAAGTTCTCCATGCTTCACATTCAGCTTCCTTGGCAACTTTTCCTCTGGTGGCTGAGTCGAGTTCTCTTCCAGCATCATACTTTCTCTTCTTAGCAGCAGCCAATTAGACTTAAGCTTATCCTAATTTGGTTTCGGAGTCAGCCTTTTCAGATTAGAGGGCAGCTCTTTATTCATTGATTTCAACGATTTAAGCTTCGAAGTTAAGTTAAGCTTAGACTTCTTCTTCTTAGTCGTCAATGATGGATTATTCCAATGAAGCTCTCAATTCAGCGATCTTGTCTTAGACGTTTTATAATTTTTCAGCTGAGAATGTTGAGGCCAATTGAACGAGGGCGAGGATGGGATTGTTTCCACCAACTCTTTCTAATTCAGCAAGGACTGCTTCAGCATCGGCTTCTGGTTGGATAGCGCTCAATTTAGCGGCAATGACGTCGAGGGCTTCAACGACCTTTGGGGTTGTGATTTATCTTTCTTCGAAGGCATCGTGGTCTTCAGCTCTCTTTTATCTGAGTTATTCTTCTTAGTTGGCTAAGATTTCTAATTATTATTCCTTGTTGGCAATATCTGTTTCCAAAAGTTCAATATCAGCAGTGTACTTGTTGATATCGATGGTGGCTTCAGTGATTTCGTTGGAAGCGAAGTCAATTCTTCTGTTATATCCATAGATTTCAGCTTCACAATCAGCTTCTTAAGCGACGTGGACTAATTCAGCATCTTATTATTAGAGGACTAAGTTTTCTCTCAAGTCTTAAAGCATCTTGGCAATATCAGAGAGTGGTGACTTGTTCTTCATTTACAAGGCGATTGTGTCCAAAATTTTCTTTCCCAATGGATGGTCTTCAAGTGCTTCGAGTTAGGCGAAGACGGCAGCATGTGGTTCAGAAGCATGCTTAACGAAGACGGCTTGTGTGAAGATCACTAATCCTAAGATCAATAAAGCTTTCATTAATATTATTAATGTTTTCTCGTCAACCTTATTTGGCTTAAATTACACAAACTATACGTTTTTTAATTTTTTTGGTTTTTTAATAAAAATTATTTTTCTGTCATTTGAATATCATAAGTGAATTTTAATTGCTCATTAATTATATATCTTCATTTTGTAATATCAACCATCCAATTAATAATTTTAAAGCATTCCTTCTATTTTTAAGACTTTATTTTAGATTATATTATATATTCCAAACAAGATCTAACTTTTTATATTTTACTTCCTTATATTCATAAATGCTTTTATAATATCTAATTCTATTATTAATCTTTAGTTTACATGTGATAAATATTCTAAAATCAAAAAAAATTAGTAGTTGATTGTTTGAAATAATATAAATTAAAAAATGATATAACAATTTGCGACTAAATTCACAAAATGTATTTCTAAGATGATAATTAATAAACTATTTTAACTTTTTTGAAAATCTAAATCTTAATGATTTATTAAGATTAAAAAATAATTATATTTACAATAAAATCTTTAAAATCAATTTTTGTTAAACCAATAATGTATAAATAAAATGGAAATAAGACTACTTATAACTGATTATTTCTTTTATGTAACATTTAAATTGTTAGTTTAGATAAAACATGAATTTCACCAAAAAGAGAGGGATGATGAAGAAATGTACTTTTTTTTAATTCAAGAATTTTCAAATATAAAAATATATAATTATCTTTTTTGAGATGTATTTAATTGATATAGTAGTTTAAGTTTCTTCTACTTGATAATAAATTATTTCATTTTTATTTCTTGATAAAGTACTGTTACTTAATAATAAGTATTTAGAATTCTAGAAATATAATTTTGAATTATTTGAATCTAATCTGATGATTCAAAGTAATAAGTATTAGGATACTAAGATTAAATATTTCTTCTTAAGTAATGAGAATATTTTTATTTCAAAAAAAATGAATTATTTACTAAAGGGTATTGCATTATTATTAGGTAAATTAGATATGAGAGAATGGTATATTTTCCACAATTAATTGAGAATGAAAATAAATCATAAATTATTTAGAAAAAATTTATAATAAGTTCAATACTTATTTTAACTAAAACTAAGTAAAATTAATTACTAAAATTTAGTAGAATATTTTGTACGGATTAGATGACATAGGAGATTAATTTTTTTGACTTTAATTATATTATTTTTAATTTTATTATAATATCAAAAAATATAATTTCTATTAATGAATTTTAAAGTTTTGATAAATCTTAGTTTAATACTAATTTATTCAAATTTATAACAATTTCTTACAATGACATTCTATTAAATCATAATTAAACATTTATAATTGATACTATTTAAAATTCTAACTAAATGATTTGTATTAATGAAATGAGTATTTGGTAATATCTCTTATTAGAATACAATTTTTGAGTTTTTTCCATATATAAGAGATAAATTCAAAAAATTGTAATATAATTTTTAGAAAATATATCATATTTGACAGAATTTAATTAAGCAAATTAAATCAATATTATTGAGGATAGTAGTAATTTATGTAAATTCAATTTAGAGAATTAAATATAATCATCTTTATTATAGGTTTAACATAAATATTCTCAAAACCAATATAATCTCTATGTTTAGTATATAAAATTAGTTGAAATTTATATATGACCATTTTTTAAATGATAATATTTATTGATTTCTTAGAAATTATAGATTATATGAGAAGTTCATAATAATATATTTAACATATATATATTGAAAACTATTAGTTTATTTATAATTATTTGATAAAGATTTCATATCTTTTATAAAACCATCAAGGTTTTTGATTTCTTATATTTAGTTAAGTATGTACAAAGAAAGTTTCTATTGTAAATTTACTTCATGCTTTTTAGAGTTCGTGGTAACTTAATCTTTGTGTGCTCTGAAGGTTATGTTTTGATTATTCTTTATGATTTTGGAATTTATAAAGTAATCTTTGTTATTTCTGGTTTGTTAGGATTTTATAATAAATGACTTTTACAAGATTTAGGAGGCTCAAATATGCGAATTTGGGTATCTTCTATAAGTTTTTCTGTGGTTCTTGCTGAAGCTCTACGGAGAGAAGTGAGTAGTAATTGAGAAGATGATGTGCAAATTAAAGAATCTTATTTAGATGCAGAGAATTTGCGAAATAATTTTTCTATGAATATTGGTAGTACAAATGTATACTTGTATTTTGTGCAGTCAATAATCTATTAGTTTTGAGAGATGGTTGCCTTTTTATTCTAGAGGGTTTAAGAATGAATGGTATATTCATATTTCTATATTGAAAATTAGTCATTCTTCCACATTCCTGACAATCACAACTTTTTCTTCTCATTTTTTGTGGTATTTTGTGAAATTGATTTCTTGTATTAAAAACAAAGAATTTAGGCAAACTGAAGCTACGTTGTAATTTAGATTTGGGTGTATTATAAATTGGATGTGAGAGATATCTATGTTGATTCAATATTCTAAATCTTAAGCATAAACTTTATTAATTCATTTTTAATTCAAACTTTACTATAATGTCTTATGAATCTCTTCATTTTCATAATCATTAATGATTGGTTTTTAGTATTATTACTTTATGTATTCAGTTCTATCTTTAGAATATGGTTATATTATATGTTTTTTTATTTCTTATACTAAATGATTATCTGGTATTAAAAAATCGATTTGTAAAAGTCTTGTTTAAATAGAGGAGATTATAATTATTAATTGTAGTTATTAAAATTAGAAAAATGTAGATGAAGATTAAAAAGAATTAAAGAATTATTATTTATCTAATTTAAGATA